TTCTTTTACTAGACAGTTAGAATTGTAGATTTTTATTTTGTATTTATATATTCTATAAATGAGATTAACCTATAGATTCATTTTTTGGTGCTTCTTTGTTGTATTGTGATCAGTTATGCTAGCTTGGCAGTTTGAATTGGGAAGCTTTTCATCTTTTTATACTCTGAAAGCTACAAAATAAAAATAGAACAAAATAGATTACTATTTGTTCCTTGAAACTGGTAAATTCAGTCATAAACAGTCTTGCTGGGTATCATTTTAAAGGAGATATTTGGCTCCCTTTTCCATTTTTTAAAATGATTACTGATGTCTTTACTTAAAAAAAAACTCTTTTTGAGTGATTTTTGGTAACATATCTTCCTAGAAAATAATCCATTTCATTAAAACATTCATTTCAAATTTATTAGTATAAACGTGATCTATAGTCTCTTACAGTTTAAATTTTTCTATTATTTCTGAAGTTATCTTTTCCATCCTTTACTTTAAAGAATTTGTGTCTTCTCTCCCATTTTCTTGCTGAGCTTTGTCAAAGGTTTGACCATTTTATTGGTCTTCATAAAATCCATCTTATGGTTTTATTGAGCAAATCTGTTTTGTTCCCTGTCACATTGGTTTTTGCTTTAATTTTGAGTAATTATGTTCATGTATTATTTATAATTATTTAATTATATAGTTACTATAATTATGTATAATTATTTTCTTTGAGCTTATATTGCTAATCTTTGTCTAGTTTCTTAAGTACTCAATTCATTTATTTTCAAATTTTATTATTTTCTTTTTAAAAAATTTTTGCCTGCGTTGGGTCTTTGTTGCTGCACACGGGCTTTCTGTAGTTGCAGTGAGCGGGGCTACTCTTCATTGCGGTGCGTGGGCGTCTCATTGCAGTGACTGCTCTTGTTTTGGAGCACGGACTGTCGGTGCATGGGCTTCAGTAGTTGCAGCACGCGGGCTCAGTAGTTGTGGCTTGCAGGCTTAGTTGCTCCACGGCATATGGGATCTTCCTGGACCAGAGACTGAACCCATGTCCCCTGCATTTGGCAGGCAGATTCTTAACCACTGAGCCACCAGGGAAGTCCCTTATTTTCTTGTAAATGCATATAAACCAACACTTTTCTGAGTACAGTCTGAAGTTTTAATAAATAATGCTTACATTGTCATTCCTTTCCAAATAATTTGAAATTTATTTATTTTTCCCCAACATTTTATTATGAGTGTTTCCAAATATACACAAAGTTGAAAGAATTTTACAGTGAATGCCCTAAAGCCCATCTTCTAGTTATGATTCTACCATTCACATTTTATTATTCTTGCTTTATCACGCCTATACATCCTTCCTCCATTAATCCATCTTACCTTTTTTGGGCCTTTAAAAGTAAATTGTAGGCATCATAATTTTTAGTTTACAATTTGTTATTTCCTTTTGTTGTTGTTATTATTATTTGTTATTTCCTTTTTAACCCTATTATTTTATTAGGTTTTTTTTTTAACGTCTTTATTGGAGTATAATTGCTTTACAATGGTGTGTTACTTTCTGCTTTGTAACAAAGTGAATCAGTTATACATATACATATGTCCCCATATCTCTTCCCTCTTGCATCTCCCTCCCTCCCCCCCTCCCCATCTCACCCCCCTTGGTGGTCACAAAACACCCAGCTGATCTCCCTGTGCTATGCGGCTGCTTCCCACTAGCTATCTATTTTACGTTTGGTAGTGTATATATGTCCATGCCACTCTCTCACTTTGTCCCAGCTTACCCTTCCCCCTCCCCTTATTAATAGGGTGTTTTTTAATTGTCCAAGTAGTTAAGGTTGGAGAGGAAAGAGTGCAGGCTGTCTTTCTATTGCTCACAGCAATGCTTTGACCTTTACACTCTTACTGTCTTCCATTATGGTCTAGGAATGTGAAATATAAGAGTTATGCTTATTGGAATTTGTAGAGCTCTTACTTGGGCTTCATATATGCTCACATTATATGACTATTTCATGCGTATTTTAAAAGAATGTTTTCTCTGTTAGGTACAAAGTTGTGGAATTGTCTATTAGTCTAGCTGTCAAATTCTTCATATTGTTATTTATTTTGGTCTACCTGAGCTATTAATTTCAGAGAGGTGTGATAGTCTCCTAAGATGATTGTGGATCTGTCAATTTCTTACATTTCTAATTTTTTGCTTTATATATTCCAAAAATATGTTATTAGAATATAAAAGTTTATAACTGTAATATCTTCTTAATAAAACTTGCCTTTTATCAGTTTAAAATATCCCTTTTTGTCTCATTTAATTATTCTTGGCTTGAGCTCTGTTTTGCCAGATATTAATTGCCAAACCTGCTTTCTTTTTGCTTTGATTATATTAACTGTGGTTTTTAAAAATAGCTCATAGTTGGATTAAAAAAATCTGAGAGGTTTTTTTTTGATAGGGGAATTTACTCCAGTTAATTTTATTGTGATTTTTCATTTGTTTATACTTAATGTTTCCATATATATATATATATATATATATATATTTTTTTTTTTTTTGCTGTACGTGGCCCTCTCACTGTTGTGGCCTCCCCCGCTGCAGAGCACAGGCTCCGGATGCGCAGGCTCAGCGTCCATGGCTCACGGGCCTAGCCGCTCCGCGGCATGGGGGATTCTCCCGGACCGGGGAACGAACCCGCGTCCCCCACATCGGCAGGCAGACTCCCAACCACTGCGCCACCAGGGAAGTCCTGTTTCCATATTATTTTATGTTTCCTGCTTTTCAAGCTTTCTAGTTGTTGCTCTCCTTTTTAAAATTATTTTATTTATTATTTTTTTGGCTGTGCTGGGTCTTTGTTGTGGCGCGTGGGTTCTTCTTTGTTGTGTCGTGAGGGCTTCTCTAGTTGTGGCACGTGGGCTACAGAGTACGTGGGCTCAGTAGTTGTGGTGCACAGGTTTATTTGCCCCACAGCATGTGGGATCTTAGTCCCCCAACCAGGGATCGAACCCGTGTCCCCTACATTGGAAGGCAGATTCTCATCCAATAGTGGAATTGATCGAATTTTTATTTCTTGATTTCCAGCTTTCTAGTGCAAACTTCAACTATTTGCATACCGCTTTCCTGGTTTTGTAATATCTGCATACCACCTGTATTACTACTATTTTCTAGTTAGTTATTCACCTAAACAACTATATCAATTTATTTTCAGTTAAGATAATATTATTGCTATAAAAGGAAAGCCAGTATCATTTGCTGTAAATAGAAATTAATGTAAATAGAAGTGAAAGAAATATCAGATGATGTTATTACATTTCAGCCAGCTCCTCTTGCCTGCCTGGAGCCTGTTCTCTTTTTTTTGATTAAAAGAAAACGAAAGTGTTAAGATTTAGAAAGATGTTAAAGACATGATTGCAGCAAACGGACAGGCTCTAAGTTAATCAGAATCATGGATTGTGATTGATTTTTTAAAATATCATGTTTACGTACCATCTAAAGGCTCCTCTTGATGTCTCATTCTTGAGGTACATGCTTCAGGAGTTTGTCATACATTCTTTTCTTGCAGTGGTAACCCTTAAACATTTAGCTTTGTTCTTTCTATTAAATCTAATCAATATCTCTATCTACTTGCCTTTATTAAGGCAAAGCTTTTACTTACATCTTCTCTTCCTCTCCTACATCCCATGTTGAAATCATTCATTATATATTTCTATTTTACAGATGATAGAACTGAGGCTTTGGAGAGTTGAGTAAACTTGTTTGAGTGCCAAAGTTGGGAGTTGAGCCTAGGCAATCTGCCTTCAGAGCCTGTGCTCTTTCCACTAGACTATACTGCCGAATTTGGGGTTTAGTTCCAGATTATGATTTATTACTAAAAATTTATAACATATAGCTTAAATATACATTTTACTATTTCTTATTCATATCTCTTTCATTTTATTTTGCTAAAGTATATCCTTGAGGGACTTCCCTGGTGGTGCAGTGGATAAGACTCCTTGCTCCCAATGCAGGGGGCCCAGGTCTGATCCCTGGTCAGGGAACTAGATCCCACATGCATGCCGCAACTAAGAGTTCACATGCCACAACTAAGGAGCCGGTAAGCTGCAACTAAGCAGGTGGCGAGCCTCAACTAAAGAGCCCGCAAGCCGCAACTAAGACCTGGAGCAACCAAATAAATTATTTAAATAAATATATTAAAAAATTAAAGTATATCCTTGAGTAACTCTTTCAGAAAGACCAGGTATATTTCTTTCTTCCCCTCACATTTGAATGTGAAGCTGGCTAGGAATAGAATCTTAGATTCACATTTATTGTCTTTTAGACTTTTGAAAACATTGTACACTTCTCGACTATTATTTAGTCTTGGCAATCAAAGAGATGACTGATGCCATTCCTACCCTTCAGAATTTCTACCTATCCTTTATTCCTTTCCTCTTCACTGCAACTTCTCTTATCCAGACACGTGGAAGGCCCTTTCCCCCGTTTTATTTTAAAAAATATTTAAATATTTATTTATTTTGTGGCATGCGGGAACTTGGTTGCAGCATGTGGGATCTTTAGTTGTGGCATGTGGACTTCTTAGTTGCAGCATGTGGACTCTTAGTTGCAGCATGCAAACTCTTAGTTGCGGCATGCATGCAGGATCTAGTTCCTTGACCAGGGATCAAACCCAGGCCCCCTGCATTGGGAGTGTAGAGTCTTACCCACTGGACCACCAGGAAAGTCCCCCCCACCTGTTTTAAAATTGATAATAACACACACAAAGTACAAAAATATTAAGTATATAGTTTGATGAATATGGCTAAGCACCCCTGTAACCACCATCCAGATAGAGACATAGAGCACATTTACAGCATCCCAGAAGTCTCCCTCCTGCCCCATTCCCAATCAATAAACTAACCCTCCCCCCAAAAGTAACCATTATTCTGACTTCTATCACTATAGAAAAGTTGTGCTTGTTCTTCTACCTTATATAAATGACTTCATACAGTATATACTGTTTTGTGTCTGGTAGAGCCATATTTTAATGTTTTTTTCCAAGTAGAAACTTGAGGAGAAGCTAGAGTTCTGGATGGAGAAATTTGATAAGGACACAGAAATGAAACAGAATGAACTAAATGCTCTCAAAGCTGCTAAGGCCAGTGACTTAGCACACCTTCAAGAACTTGCAAAGGCGGTAAGGAAGCAGAGGCTTAATACTGTAAGGCAGAGCACTGAGGAGTGGGTGGTAGCTAAGCAATGGTAGCTGGGGGATACTCTTTTTGGTCACAACGTGGTATGCCTGTAAACCACTAGGATTCTTTCTTGATGATGATGATGACGTCCTCGTTGATGGGGACAATAATAGCAGCAGCCGACACTTTATATTGCTTAATCTGTCCCGGGCACTTTTCTAGTATTTTACATGTATAACTTATTTAACCCTCCCCAAACTCCTTGAGCTAGATACTGTTTTTATTTCTACTTTATGACCTCTGAAGATAATTTATAAATGATGATTTATAAAAAGCTTCTGATTATGGTTTCATCATTGAATAAATGTAGAACTTCTCAAATTTCTCTTTTAAAAGATGGCTGCTATTTGTAGGTATACATTCTATTAATTTTTTTAATTAATTATTTTGATGTCATTAGCCACACATCAAGTTAGTATTTCATTTTTTTTTTTAAAGAAGAGGGCAATTTTTTAAATTAATTAATTAATTAATTTTTTGTTGCATTGGTCTTCGTTGCTGCGTGTGGGCTTTCTCTAGTTGCGGCGAGCAGGGGCCACTCTTCATTGTGGTGCGTGGGTTTCTCATTGCGGTGGCTTCTCTTGTTGCAGAGCACGGACTCTAGGCGCGCGGGCTTCAGTAGTTGTGACGTGCAGACTTCAGTAGTTGTGGCTCATGGGCTGTAGAGCGCAGGCTCAGTAGTTGTGGCGCACGGGCTTAGTTGCTCCGCAGCATGTGGGATCTTCCCCGACCAGGGCTCGAACCTGTGTCCCCTGATTGGCAGGTGGATTCTTAACAATTGTGCCACCAGGGAAGTCCTGGCATGGTTCATTTTAAAGTTTTATATTAAAAATGCAGGGCTGGGGAGTTCCCTGGTGGTCTAGTGGTTAGAATTCCAGGCTTTCACTGCCATGGCTGGGGTTCAATCCCTGGCTGGGAAACTGAGATCTCACAAGTCATGTGGTGCAGACAAAAAAAAAGAACACAAAAAACCTGGGCTGGCTGGACCACAGCTTAGTGAGCAAATTCTGTAACATATGATTGATGTCTACTTTTGCAGATAAGGGAATATGAACAAGTCATCATTGAAGATCGTATAGAAAAGGAGAAGACCCGGAAGAAGATAGAACAGGATCACTTGGAATTAGAGAGCAGCATAAAGGTAGAAAACTGGCACCTTGGTAATTGGCATCTTGGGGCTTTTTCAGTTCTGTAGCTGGCCAAACACTGAGGAATGCAGAGCATCTTTCGTTTATTATCACACGTGGAACAGGGAATCTGTGAGGAAGCATGGCCTAAAAATTGGGCTTTGCCAACACACGGCCCGTGGTGCAGGGAGACAGTTAAGAGAAAAGGATATGCCCCCAATTTTTAATCCAGGAAGGAAGAGGTGGTTAGCAGTGGAAGCAAAACCTAGAACTTGTGCCCAGAGATCAAACTTATGAATACTAGTTCTAACCAAAACAGCTCTTAAAGGAATTCTTTTTAATATACTACTACTTCTTAAAATCCTATTTATAAATCAGTCCAGGCTATCTGCTGGGTTCAGATCAAGAGCTGTTTTCAAAAAAGGTGAAGGTGATTAAGTAGCAGTTCAGAAAAAAAGAGAGAGAGTTTTATATGAACTTGTGTATATTAGTGATGATGAAACTGGCAAGTCAGATTCTGGGAAATATTTTCAAGCAAGAATAACGTCAGCTGGACTAAAACTGTAGTTTTGACAATTGCTTTTCTCTCTGAAAGAGGAGTATCTGCTGAGACCCTACAGTGTGCAAGCTGTGGTTTAGGATGTATATTAGGGGGTGTATTAAGATAGTCAACTTTGAAAAGTACATTCAGGACCAGGTATTTAAACCCAAACTTGAGCTTTCCATTAGGAGTCAGATGTGTAGTGAGCAAGTATTTATTGAGCTTCTCTGGTGTTTTCTATTTGTCAGGATTCCTCGATTTAGAGCAGAACGGTAAGAGGTAGCTGAAGACCATTTTTGTTTTCTTTTCATTAGTGGATTTGCTCCCAGTCTTTGAAGCTTAATCTGATTTGAAAGTAGACCAGACTGTATTTAGACCAGTTGTGTCTAATGACTAAGATATTCAAGGGAGCTAACTAAATCCTTTTTGAAGGGGAGTTTTGATCCTTTCATCAATCATTAGAGATTGAAATGCACCAGGAAACCTACTGAAATCACTAGATTATCTGCACATTTTTGACTGCTTGCTTTTGCCTGTGGTCCAGGTAACTAGCATTGCTTTTGGATCAAATGGTTGTTAGATTTGGGGAACTTGGAAGTTCATAAAGAGCAGCAGTACAAGGGACTCAGGTTTCTAAGTGTAAAGGAAAGATAGGCCTAATCAGATCCCTTTTCTTTAGTTTTACTCCTTGAAAACTTTAGAGTCCAGGGCTTAAGCTCTGAGTCCTGCACAACAGGCAAGCACTGCTCAAAGATAGCATGCTTGGCCACTTCTGTGTCTCAGAGACCATCTTCACAGAAGTTAGTTTATGAAGAAACAATCCCCTTATGTAGAAAGAATGCAGCTTGTCAGGCATACTACAAATTGTACCCGCTTCCCTGTCCTCTTCCAGCTCCAGGCCTGGTGGCGAGGCACTGTGGTGCGGAAGGAAATTGGTGGTTTCAAAATGCCCAAGAAGGACAAAGATGATGGCAAGGATTCAAAAGGTAAAGGTAAAGGCACAGACAAGGACAAGCGGAGAGGCAAGAAGTGACCAAGTTATCTTCTGTCTTTTCTGCTGGTGTTTTGGAGGTCGGAAGGAGGACCTGAAGGGAGTAAGAAATATCTTTTACCATCACAGATAACTCATCTACAGGTTGTTTCTTATTTGGACATTCTCAGGTGAGGCCTAGTTATACTAGGTCACCTTGACTGTTACACTAGTTTTCAAACCCTTAATTAGGATTATACTGTGGATTCAGAGCTTCTTCATAACTTGAAAAAAAAATTCCTGGGAAGAAATATTTCTAGGAGTCTTGTGAAGATTCCTCTCGCTCTTTCTCACCAGAAAAAAAGTACATAATCCTAGTTATAGTGATACATTAAAACTTCAGTAATTCCTGTAATGTCTCTGATTCTGACTTTATTCAACTTGCCTATAGTGAAAAATGGCACTTAGGAGCAAAGAGTGTCATAAATGACACTCTTTTTTTGGCATCTCATTTATTTTTTTATACAGCATGTTCTTATTACTTATCTATTATATATATATTAGTGTATACATGTCAATCCCAACCTCCCAATTCATCACACCACCACCCCCTGCCACTTTCTCCCCTTGGTGTCCATACGTTTGTGCTCTACATCTGTCTCTATTTCTGCCCTGCAAACTGGTTCATCTGTACCATTTTTCTAGGTTCCACATAAATGCATTAATATACAATATTTGTTTTTCTCTTTCTGACTTCACTCTGTATGACAGTCTCTAGGTCCATCCATGTCTCCAAAAATGACCCAATTTCATTTCTTTTTATGTCTGAATAATATTCCATTGTATATATGTACCACATCTTCTTTATCCATTTGTCTGTCGATGGGCATTTAGGTTGCTTCCATGACCTGGCTATTGTAAATAGTGCTGCAATGAACATTGGGGTGCATGTGTCTTTTTGAATTATGGTTTTCTCTGGGTATATGCCCAGTAGTGGGATTGCTGGGTCATATGGTAATTCTATTTTTAGTTTTTTAAGGAACCTCCATCCTGTTCTCCATAGTGGCTGTATCAATTTACATTCCCACCAACAGTGCAAGAGGGTTCCCTTTTCTCCACACCCTCTCCAGCATTTGTTGTCTGTAGATTTTCTGATGATGCCCATTCTAACCGGTGTGAGGTGATTCCTCACTGTAGTTTTGATTTGCGTTTCTCTAATAATTAGTGATGTTGGGCAGCTTTTCATGTGTTTGTTGGCAATCTGTGTACCTTCTATGGAGAAATGTCTATTTAGGTCTTCTGCCCATTTTTTGATTGTTTTTTTGTGGTACGCGGACCTCTCACTGTCTTGGCCTCTCCCGTTGCGGAGCAGAGGCTCCAGACGCGCAGGCTCAGTGGCCATGGCTCACGGGCCCAGCCGCTCCGCGGCATGTGGGATCTTCCCGGACCGGGGCACGAACCCGTGTCCCCTGCATCGGCAGGCAGACTCTCAACCACTGTGCCACCAGGGAAGCCCCTATTTTTTTTTAATACTGAGCTGCACGAGCTGTTTATACATTTTGGAGATTAATCCTTTGTCCATTGATTCGTTTTGCAAATATTTTCTCCCATTCTGAGGGTTATCTTTTCTTGTTTATAGTTTCCTTTGCTGTGCAAAAGCTTTTAAGTTTCATTAGGTCCCATTTGTTTATTTGTTTTTATTTCCATTACTCTAGGAGGTGGGTCAAAAAAGATCTTGCTGTGATTTATGTCACAGAGTGTTCTTCCTATGTTTTCCTCTAAGAGTTTTATAGTGTCCGGTCTTACATTTAGGTCTTTAATCCATTTTGAGTTTATTTTTGTGTATGGTGTTAGGGAGTGTTCTAACTTCATTCTTTTACATGTAGCTGTCCAGTTTTCCCATCACCATTTATTGAAGAGGCTATTTTTTCTCCATTGTATATCCTTGCCTCCTTTGTCATAGATTAGGTAACCATAGGTGTGTGGGTTTATCTCTGGGCTTTCTATCCTGTTTCATTGATCTATATTTCTGTTTTTGTGCCAGTACCATATGGTCTTAATTACTGTAACTTTGTAGTATAGCCCAAAGTCAGGGAGTCTGATTCCTCCAGCTCCGTTTTTTCCCCTCAAGATTGCTTTAGCTATTCGGGGTTTTTTGTGTCTCCATACAAATTTTAAGATTTTTTGTTCTAGTTCTGTAAAAAATGCCATTGGTAATTTGATAGGGAATCCATTGAATCTGTAGATTGCTTTGAGTAGTATAGTCATTTTCACAATATTGATTCTTCCAATCCGAGAACGTGGTATATCTCTCCACCTGTTTGTGTCATCTTTGATTTCTTTCATCAGTGTATAGTTTTCTGAGTACAGGTCTTTTACCTCCTTTGTAGGTTTATTCCTATTTTATTCTTTTTGTTGCAATGGTGAATGGGATTGTTCCCTTACTTTCTCTTTCTGATCTTTCATTGTTAGTGTATAGGAATGCAAGAGATTTCTGTGCATTAATTTTGTATCCTGCAACTTTACCAAATTCATTGATTAGCTCTAGTAGTTTTCTACTGGCATCTTTAGGATTCTCTATGTATGGTATCATGCCATCTGCAGTGACAGTTTTACTTCTTCTTTTCCGACTTGGATTCCTTTTACTTCTTTTTCTTCTCTGATTGCTGTGGCTAAAACTTCCAAAAACTATGTTGAATAATAGTGGTGAGAGTGGACAACCTTGTCTTGTTCCTGATCTTAGCGGAAATGGTTTCAGTTTTTCACCATTGAGAATGATGTTTGCTGTGGGTTTGTCATATATGGCCTTTATTATGTTCAGGTAGGTTCCCTCTATGCCCACTTTTTGGATAGTTATCATAAATGGGTGTTGAATTTTGTCAAAAGCTTTTTCTGCATCTGTTGAGATGATCATATGGTTTTTATTCTTCAATATATTAATATGGTGTATCACACTGATTGATTTGTGTATATTGAAGAATCCTTGCATCACTGGGATAAATCCCAGTCGATCATGGTGTATGATCCTTTTAATGTGTTGCTGGACTCTGTTTGCTAGTATTTATTGAGGATTTTTGCATCTATACTCCTCAGTGATATTGGTCTATAATTTTCTCTTTTTGTAGTAGCTTTGTCTGGTTTTGGTGTCAGGGTGATGGTAGCTTCATAGAATGAGTTTGGGAGTGTTCCTTCCTTTGCAATTTTTTGGAAGATGGGTGTTAGCTCTTTTCTAAATCTTTGATAGAATTCACCTGTGAAGCCATCTGGTCCTGGACTTCTGTTTGTTGGAGGATTTTTAATCAGTTTCAACTTCATTACTTGTGATTGGTCTGTTCATATTTTCTATTTCCTCCTGGTTCAGTCTTGGAAGGTTATACCGTTCTAAGCATTTGTCCATTTTTTCCAGGTTGTCTATTTTATTAGCATAGAGTTGCTTGTAGTAGTCTCTTATGATGCTCTGTATTTCTACGGTGTCCGTTGTAACTTCTCCTTTTTCATTTCTAATTTTTATTGAGTCCTCTCCCTCTTTTTCTTGATGAGTCTGGCTAAAGCTTTATCAATTTTATCTTCTCAAAGAACCAGCTTTTAGTTTCATTGATCTTTGCTATTTTGTTTCTATTTCGTTTGTTTCTGCTCTGATGTTTATGATTTCTTCCTTCTACTTACTTTGGGTTTTGTTTGTCCTTCTTTCTCTAGTTCCTTTAGGTGTAAGGTTAGATTGAGATTTTTCTTGTTTCTTGAGGTAGGATTGTGTTACTATAAACGTACCTCTTATAACTGCTTTTGCTGCATCCCATAGGTTTTGGATTGTCGTGTTTTTGTTGTCATTTTTCTCTAGGTATTTTTTTATTTCCTCTGATTTCTTCAGTGATCTCTTGGTTATTTAGTAACGTATTGTTTAGCCTCCATGTGTCTGTGTTATGGTTTTTTCCCTGTAATTGATTTCTAATCTCATAGCGTTGTGGTCGGAAAAGATGCTTGATATGATTTCAGTTTTCTTAAATTTACCGAGGCTTGATTTGTGACACAAGGTGTGATCTATCCTGGAGAATGTTCCGTGTGCACTTGAGAAGAATGTGTAATCTGCTGTTTTTGGATGGAATGTCCTGTAAATATCAATTAAATCTCTCTGGTCTATTGTGTCATTTACAGCTTGTGTTTCCTTATTAATTTTCTGTGTGGGTGATCTGTCCGTTGGTGTAAGTGAAGTGTTAATGTCCCCCACTATTATTGTGTTACTGTTGATTTCCTCTTT